TTCACCAAAACCTTATATATAACTATATACTTATATATTTATATATATTTATATAGTTATCAGTAAGTATATTCTACTAACTAAGCTTTTGTTGTATGAGCTTCTACTGCACATTGACTTGCTCACATAATAAAATAGATGAATGTAATTTACATCATTATTAATATTATTTATCACTGACATTTATCAGTAGCAACAGAATAATGAATATTTCTGACAATAACATTGAGATGATGCAGTAAAATAGATGAATGTAATTTATATTACTATTGATGTAATTTCTTATTGATTTTTATTAGTAGTAATTAGATAATAGAAAAGTACAGTTATTCATCATCTTACAACATCATACTGAGCATCTTTATAAGTGATCATTTTATTACAGTTACTACATTCTGAGTTCTTTCAAGATCTTCTGATACTTCTAGTAATATCTGATAACTTAATCTGATTATATAAGATCAAGACCTGTTGAGCCACTTCACAACATCTGAGAATAGTTCAATCCACAATTCCACATCATATCAATTGTGAACTGGTAACATCTGTGTTTGGAACCAGTAATTACCAGTTAAGACACCTGGTGACCTGCGAACGGCATAACATTACAGTATTCCACAGATCTGGAATTCCGGTATGGTACTGTAATATAATCACGTGATTCATCCATTGGCCAGAAGGTCACCAACAATGTAGACGAATTGTCCATTCGCCGTCATCATGGGATTATGATAGGCAGTACTTCCGATATGGCCACAAAACCAGCGGTAATGAACCTTGGTGTTCCAAATCAAACGTAAGAAACCCCATTTAATGAATTCGCCAACAGAACGTTAACCAGATGCAGACTATATTGTTCGAACCTCCCGGATAAATTGAAGAAACCTGACCTGAGGCTCAGCCTTTATACTCTATTTTCCACATATGGCACAGTTCTGGATGTCGTTGCTATGAAAAATGGAAAGATGAGAGGTCAAGCTCACGTTGTCTTCAGAGATCTCCAGGCCAGCACACAAGCAATGCGAGGCCTACAGGGATTCGACTTTTTCGGGAAAGAGATGGTGAGCCATAGTCTTAGAAATAAAATTTAGAGTTGTTGGTGATTATTTAAACTTACAGTCGGCGTTCAGAAAATTGTTTATGCTAAAGGAAGCTCGGATGTTATTGCAAAACTTCGTGGCACATATGCCCCTTCAACCGCAACCGAATTACCTGGTATTTCAACCGATTTCCAAAGAACTGTATTCAACGCTCCTCCATCAACTGCACTAGCGGCTGAACCGCGACGCTCATCTGTACCGAATCAGCAGGTGCCGCACGGCGTTAAACGGCTTAGGGAAGATGAGAGTGATGGGGATGCCCTTATGGAAGAAGATGAAAGTGATGTTCCAATGGAAGCCTCATCAGATGAAGACTAGATTTTTCGAACGGGAACTATAAACTTCATACTCGGGTTCACGGAATGATTCTTGCGAGCCATTCTTGTCCTCGTGTGTCAAAAGTAGGAGCTGCTCTACGGACAGAATCAAACCGGCCATTGTGAGGTTTTAAAAACCGACTTATATCGAAGATATAAAACTGGTTGGTTACATATCAGATCATATGCAGAGACGCTGTCATGCTTAAGTATGAAGTGAGCTGTTCTAGACGGTCCAGGACCAGCAGTTTAATTCCCGATTGTTCTTGTTGTACTAATGTACGTAGAAGAACTGTCTATGGCTATTGCTACAACCTTATGTATATCACAGGCATAAACAGTATTGCCAAACTTTCCGAGAAATATTATTCTTGTTCCCAAGCTTTTTCTGATCGCAACATTGGAGCATACGTTTCGCTTTCTATCGTAGAAGCTCGGAATTTCAGGGTCAAGGGTATTGATCTAGAGCCTAGGTGGTAGTCAAATATCTTCATACACTATTCACATGTCGCCCTTCTGACTTTTCCCTGATTTGTAGGAACTTTAGAACTACCAGTGTATGCCCAGGATGTGCTCAATCTGTGTTTTGCATGTATGTGCAGCACTCAAATTTTCTTCCATGGTACATAGGGACAGGCGTATTGTGTAGTGCTGTACTCTGTACGGAGTCTCTGTTTCTCGCGGGTCTGTGTATTAATACACTCATACCCTCATGTCAAGAGTACTCAGTCGCAAAATTCCATACAAGATTAAAAATGGATTCAAACGCAAGCGACTGGCAATCAACTATCAACAGATGTTTCCCATGAGATTATATCATTGCTATTTGTTGCTCAGCATCTCATGCTCACGTAGCCCTTTCATCCACGCAATTGGCGGCGTCATGGGCTGGTAAGGTATTATTTATGCTTAGGTCCGAGGACTTGCCCTAAGCAAGTATATATGGAGGAAGACAGTGAATTATCTTAATAAAATTACCAATTTGCGCTCCCTTGCCCTAGAGCTCATTCAAGGGTAGTGATACAGCCATGTTGGGCTATTTGTAGGTATTTTGCTGCCATGAATGGCACATCTTTTTGCACAGTGACATTATCATGTCGCCATTGGCATCGATTCATTCTATTCTCCGTTTAGATCTTTTCCACCCAGTAGAATCTCAATTGACGTTTCCTACAACAATATTCCGGGCTCCAGGTGCCTTATATGTCTCCACTTGTTTCTGTCCTTTTCGCAAGAGGTACTCGATCGTAATAAAGTCTTTTTTGCTCACATTTCGGTTCTTATCAAACTGATGCCTGGCGCGATACGCTGTCAGTGTTCTGCAAAATTAACGAGGCATCTTGCTTAATGGTATATCACCTTGCGTAGCGTTTGAAATTATTATGCGACCCCTGAAAGGCGGTGGTTAGTTATGTAGCTGGATATGTATAAGTTACATGAAACTAGTGGTAATTAGGGAAGCAGGTGGGTACATTACCACAGGCTTTCCTCGAATTTCCCTGAGGCATTGCCGATATAGAGATAGAACCTGGCGCTGTAGACCTGATTGACTCATTCCTAGACCTGTCTCTCTAAGTAAGTAGCTCTGATGCTACGAAGAATGAGCTGCATGATCTGTACGGAGTACTCCGTACTTAGGAGATGAATTCGTCGGCTTCTATGGAGAACTTAGCAATTAATAATCAAGGAGTACGGAGTAACTAACTAGTTAGTTAGTTAACTACATAACTATGTATGTAACTACATAAGCCTGAGGCAAGCTTACCGATGTCCCGGCCGAGTCGACATCCATAAAAGCAGTTTTCTACATTTAATTTACCTCCTTTACTAGAAATGGAGGCGCGATCTTACCTTTCCTCAAAAGCGACCTATGTCACAGGATTTGTTATCCATTAGATCACCGTCCTTTCTCATCATGGCCTCGTTTTCTGTAAGTTTACGAACCATCGCCCCGCCCGGCCCATAATCGTACAGCGCTGATCTTTGACCACGATCCAGCGACTCGTGCGGTTCGTTGCAAGCGATGGACGCACATACTATGGTGATGCCGTTCTTCCAGTAGGCGTTACTGACCTTGCCAAAACCATGAAAGCCCGCGTAATCAAAGGCAATATATTCGGGCGTCACCAAGTAACTGAGCGGGTTGTAGACGTGAGAAAGCTCCTCTCTCCCCTTGCTCTCAAGGATATGCGAACAATCCGCTGTCTCGGACTGAATTACGCTCAACATGCCAAAGAAGCAAATATGTCAATCCCAGTATACCCAGTCCTCTTTTTCAAGCCCGTAACCGCTGCTGCAGGGCCTATGGATCACATTCTTGTCCCTGCTATTGCGCAGGAAATAGAAGGGTTAGACTATGAATGTGAACTGGTAATTGTGATTGGAAAGGAAGCATATAATGTGCCTGAGTCTCGAGCTCTTGATTATGTTCTTGGATACGCTGTTGGCAACGATGTTTCCCATCGCGAATGGCAACTTAAACGCGGGGCAGGTCAATGGGGTCTTGGTAAAGGGTTTGATGGATGGGCCCCATTTGGCCCTGGAATTGTTTCGACACAGTTAATTAAGGATCCAAATGTGCTGGGGATTTCCACCAAGCTCAATAACGAATTGGTTCAGGATTCTAACACAAAGGACATGATTTTTAACGTAGCCAAAATTATTTCATTCCTGTCTCAAGGAACGACTCTTTTACCTGGAGACTTGATATTTACTGGGACGTAGGTGACGCCCGGGTCAGCATTTTATGACAACAACTTTGACTAACAGCCGTCATTAGACCTGAAGGAGTGGCAATGGGAAGGCAACCTCAACTCTGGTTAAGGAACGGGGACCAGATCGACGTGACGTTGGAGGGTGTGGGGACCTGTAGCAATAAGGTGGTCTTCCACCGAGTCGAGACCAAACTATGAGGAATTTAGATCTATCCGAAGAAAGAAGCAATCTATGTAGTACCCCGATCATATTTCTCAGGCTCAGACCCAATACAGTCGTGTGAATCATGCTCGGACCAATCTTGCGAAATTAAAGAGTCACGATCAGATTTAAAGTATTCATTAGGGGCCACTACTTGGAACTAATCACTCGACTTGGGCACCATATCCCTTTATGCCACTCGCAAATTCCCAGCTTTGTTTTTCCAGATGTTCATCCTCCTTCAAGTCAACACCATCCTTCGTAATGACAACGATGGAATATTTGTCTAGACTTCTTGCGTCGCGATAGTAAAGAACTTTCATACATTCCTTAACCGCATTAACAGCCTGCTCTTTTGTAATGCTTTCTATTGGCATGTCCTCAGGAAATAATCTTCGCAAAATCGGAATGGCCAGATGCGCAGCGAAACCCGTAGCCAACGATGAGGCCGAAAAGGTAGTGCCTAGTAAGTCCGCCGAGCTCAAGAACGGTATGCCCTCTTGATCAAAGCCGGCCACTAAAATATGGTTCCACAGAGGGTTAAATTCTGAACGACGTTTGTAAAGCAATTTCGAGAGGTAGGTATGTAGATTCTTGGCAGTAAGGGTATGTTGACCGTAGGAAGCATAGTTCTCTGTAATATCAAGGGAATTTAAAACACGATCAATGTATTGCATGTCAGAGACGTCGCCACCGAAACCGACGACAGATGTATTGTCAAAAATGCGAAGGCGCTTCACATCCTGAAAACGGGCAAGGGAACCATAGGAAGCTATGATTAAGGTTATAGTTAGAACATTGATGCTCAAGAAGCCCCAATAATGCCATGGATATAAACCAAAAGTATGAAGTTCTCATAGGGAAACGAACCAAGATTATCAGCAGCCATAACAACTCCACCGTTAAACTTAACCGCAAGAACAGAGGTTCCCGTGACTATTGGAGATTGTGTATGGGATAGGGACCCTGTAGTCTGGAGACGAGAATGGTCATAAGAGCCGTAAACATCGTTTCTAGGCTATTATGAATGCACCTCGTCAGTACAGCTAATAGCAATAGCTCAACGGAAAGCACTCAACTCGTCCCCAAGCTTCTGGATAGTGGTCCATGATTGCGAATGGTCAAACTTCTACACTTTCCAGTTCAAGATCACAGTAGGGCGGCCTGTTGAGGCGGAAATGGAGCTATTGAAAGTCAGGAGTTGTCATCATTATGTTCGTTGGCTCTGAGCTTGATAAGATTATGTAATCCTATCATTCATTTTTTACTAACGTTAATTTAAGCACTGCTTTCTTCAGCTTGGTTTTAATGAAAGAATCAAGGTGCCACTAATCCTGTCAATTAGTCCCCATCTGCATGCGTGTAGAGAGTACCACAGCATCCAGTCTATTTTGAGCCAATTACAAATTTGAACACAATATGGAGTAAGAAGTACGGAGTATCGAGTACACTAAAACTATTAGTCTAAGGTTGTATTTTGGAGTATTTATGTCTCTGTGAGGACAAGACGCAACCCGGATTTCGCTTCTATCTCTTGGCCTAAATGAAGAGGCGCAAAGAACAGAAGGGTAGGAATCCTTGAATACCTCGGTCTCTTTTTGAAAGCTTCACATACGACGAGCATGCGCGCCGGGTTGAAATGTGAGAATTCCAGTAAAGGCATTAGAGCCAGACCTGTATAGCCTACTTGGAATCAAGTCCGGTAAATATTCCCCTACACACTTCGAGCTTCGACCTGTTAAATTGCCGGGGTATTCAGAGCTTGGACAAAATCAATAGTGGCCACTGAGATTTTGTTTTCCTCTTCGATTCCGCGACTAATTTCTTGCTGGTTCTTCTGCAGGTTTTCCTTATATCCCCATTGCGGAAGCGAAGCAACATCCCATATTTCCATTTCAAGAGGGGTCGCATACTGTGCTAGGTCTTCAAGGCCTACATGCCGCCGTAAACTTGAGAAAAGGCTTGGATTCTTCAAGGATGCTGAAGAGACGAGTTTCTCATTAAAATGTATGCGCTTGAGTTTCAGACTCAGAAAGTGTGCGAACTTTTCGTTAGAGGTGGGTGAGGAGGACCCAGTCGGCGATGGCGGTATATCTAAGTTGGGGTATGGGGGTAGAGTCATATCTCGAATCAATGAGCCGTCAGTCAACGATAGGGGCGATTTCTGTGATATGCTGGGGATTTCTTTGGTCAACGTCAACGGCTCAGACGGCTGGAATGGGCCCACAAGAGGACCACAGAGGTCAGTACGAGCGATGGTATCAGGTTGGCCGAATTTGGGCTTCTGGTCTATATTGAAAGTTAAAAATTAGTTGCATGAATAGTTATCACAAAGAATCGCAGCCGCTAGCCTTCTATCTGTTGAATATATTGTATTGGAGGCTGGTTAAAAAGCTTGTAAGGCCAGGTTTCAAATATTTTAAGGAAAGTGCCTTACTTTTCTATCCGCGGGCGTGGTACTGTTATTTTCATTTTCACTGCTACTCTCATACACTGCTAAGCCTAGCATAGTATACTCTGTTAAGCCGGTTTAGCACAACACTGAGACGTATACACTTTCTATACTCTGTACTCCGTAAGCTTGAGGCTCCAAGAGTGACGTTGCAGGCACGGGTTGTTGGACAACTAAGAAAAAGGCGACCACCTTATTAAGTGTAGACTGTCTTTTCACACGGGGTGCTCCGTAATTCACAGGTAATAATAATCTGTTAATTTATCGATTATATAAGCAGGAACATGAGGCATCAGCAAGCTAGGGATCTAGCTTCACCAAAGCATTCAGCAGCATAACTACATCTTCACTTCATACGTCAAATTCTCGTGGCTCTGCTGTCTGCTCCTTTCCAACAGATTTTGTGTCATCTAAATTTCTATTCGCCATGACCACCCTCTTAGAAACTCCCTCCTATTCAGAAACTATTGGCTACTCATTCTCTCGGGGATCTAATAAGCAGCATGGCTTCTATCCGTAAGTCTTATTGACAGTACTGTAACTGTGTATTTTCCTAATAACTTTCAGATATACTGATAACGGAGGTTCTACGTTGGGAATCACCGGCCCTAGCTTCACAATCCTGGCTGGCGATACCCGATCCGTCTCTGGATACAATATCAACACACGCTTCGCCCCTAAAGTGTTCAAAATTGGCGCGGATGAGGCCGGTGAAGGAGGCCATATAGTGTTGTCTGTCGTTGGGTTTTCAGCAGATGGTCAAGCTTTGAAGGAGCGGCTCGACGCCATTGTTAAAATGTATGAGTATCACCACGGGAAACGCATGTCTGTCAAGGCTTGTGCACAGCGTCTTTCAACCATTCTATACTCAAAACGCTTTTTCCCTTATTATGTCCATGCTATCCTCGGCGGTTTGGATGAAGATGGCAAAGGCGCTCTTTATAGCTACGATCCTGTCGGTTCCTACGAGAGAGAATTTTGCCGCGCCGCAGGTGCTGCTTCCAGCTTAATCATGCCATTCTTGGATAACCAGGTGAATCTCAAAAACCAATATGACAATATCAACGGCCAAATGGTTGCAAAAACACCAGAGCCATTATCAAAACAAGCTGCTTCAGAGCTAGTTCGCGACGCGTTTACGAGTGCTGTCGAGAGACATATTGAAGTTGGCGATGGCTTGCAAATGATGGTTATCACGAAGGACGGCATAGAAGAAATTATCAGCCCTCTCAAAAAGGATTAGGCCTATATGTGTCGCGGTGGTTCATGTTGGCTGTTGAAACAAGTTTCATTTGAACACAATATTAAATCAATTGATTTCATTTTAAGCAGGGTGACGTATTACCTTGCCGCATGCGCTGCTCTAATGATTTTTGTGAATCGTATACCATGAGAATTCATTTCCCAAAATTCTATTGCAAAGGTCTCCAGACGCCGAAAAAAAAAAGCTCTGTTTGCCCCGATTGCTAGTTACTCCTTAAAACCGCTCTTTCATTCGTGATGCCACGGTTCGTAAGTTTCCGTAGACCTTGCCCTAGTGATAAAGCTCTTTAGCTGCGAAGGTAGCCAAATAGTGTTATACAGACTTACCGGAGGGCTTCCCAAGATCAAACTGACAATAGCTTCTCTAGCAATGCGAATGTTTCGGAAACCTCCGAGGATGTGAATCTTTTGGTCTGCGAGGACGACTCTAGTCCGACTAGCATTCTCAATGGCGAATTTAGTTTTTCCGTCTTTCCCAGCTATACGGCCAATGGCTCGGCTTAGATGTTCGCCGTTTAAGGTCTTAACATCCTTTATTTCAAAGGTCTCAATATATAAGTCATCGAGTCTGAGAAGCGCGATCGCGTCATCAACATCAAATCCCAGTGTAAATGCTTTGATGAAGTCTTCCCCTTTTTGCAACGCACCGGAGTCGATAGTATGTTTTGATGTCCGCAGTTCAACAGCTTTACTCCTGATATTCATTCGCACCTGTAATTTCAGATGCTCAACAAGTGGAGGGTAAATTTTCGGCCATGCGGCTTTGAGTGGGCTCATTCGATGAGGTGGAACGGGAACTCGTCGACTTTCAACACGATACGAGCCGTCCGTGGCTGTGATGGGGGTGAATAGTGGCCTTCCTTCTTCGTCGACATGCATTTCCAGATCCGTCTCTTTTGATACCGCTGTTATATCAGGTTGCGGAGCAGCAAAGTCGATAAGTACATCTTCCTCGCCTATCAAAAGTATTAGTGATTGTATAAGCATAATCTTCCCAAGGATCATACTTTGGTTTGACTGAATCCGTGCGGAAATAGACTCGGTGTCACTGGGTACCTGTAGTCGACTGGTCGGAGCCGGCATAGCTATTGTACCAAGTGCAGATATTTCAGGTTGTCGAAATTCAGAAAGGAGTAAAACTTTTGTATGAAAGTGGAGTTGGATCTCGATTTCGAAGCAGAAGTCTTTTATCGGTGCTCGCATCTTATCTTTGGGATTCGGATGTGGGAAATCCAAGCAAACACTGCAAACATTTGTTAACCAATTACCTAGTTAACTAACTACCTAAGTTAACTAACAGGTAACTACCTACTTAACTAACTAGTTCTAGTTAGTTAATAGGTAATTGGTAAGTACTCCGTATACTCCGTAGAGTACTCCGTACACTATAAAACTTCCAAGCTCCTCACAATAACGAAGTACGCATTAGGCTTTTTAACAACATTATTAATAGAGGCTTACAGTTCATTATTCTTTTTATTCTGCACAACTTATGGGCTCTACTTAGCCGACCGCTTCATGATGCCACGAAAAATATGTCCATCCATATAGGACGCAGGCTGGGTACTATATGGGGGGCGACAGCTTCGTCCACAGTCACAGGACCTTCCAACCCACTTTTACGACACCAATATTTTCCCGTGAGAACCCTTTTCCCCGGGATATTACCTGGATTCAAATGCGTTCAGTATTTCTGTTGGCAACCTCACCCCAATGAATTATTACGAAAGAACGCGGCTGGCGCAGCGACGCTATTCTTCAACCCTAGGCGCGAAACAACGTTCGAACCTGGGGCGAGGCGGAATATTTCGGTATATGAGAGTAGGAAGATGATTCGCATAGCCACTGTATGCAGCACAATTCGGAAATTCCACGTCTCGACATGTTGTCAAAAATCTCCTCACCCTGCCGACAAAGGTCATATTCCACAAATTTCTTTGGCGCAGAAAAAGAATTCAAGGGTACAAGCGGAACTGGAAAACCCCACAAGAGTAGACACTCAAGAGCATGGGTCTTTACACCATAAATATATAATAGATCGCTTCCCCCATATGCGCAGCCCATCTAGGGAAGAGCTCTTGGCTGCAACAACTGGGTTCTGGTCTCGGCTCAAGATACGTTTCAAATGGTTTTCCATACGAAGTGTACGACCATTTAATATTGATGAAATTGGAGCTTTTTTTTCCTGGGTCCTTTTGGGACATGTAGTGTGGATTTTCCTCGGTACTACAACATTTTTTTCTCTACTAATTTTTGCGATAAATACAGTACTAGCACAGGGTAAGCCCACGGTCTTTTTTAAAGCGAATTGCTGAATATGAAGCTAACAATGTTTCTGTAGAAAGTCTAGCTCGATGGGTCGGAAATTATCTTACAAAGTCTTCTGGCGTTAAAGTGGTCTTCGAATCTGCGATTGTACCCAAATGGAGAGATGGTGTTATTTCGTTCAAAAATGTGTTCGTGTCTCGACGGCCCGGTCAAGGCACTGGAAATGTCAGTAAGGGGTCACCAAAGACTGCAGCTGCAGCTGCACTTCGAAGCCTCAATCCATCGATGCAGCATCGAGAAGATATGGGCGAAGACGAAGACTCGAACTATACACAATTTGACGTTACTATTGATACCGTAAACGTCACTCTTTCGTTTACGAAATGGTTCAACGGCAAGGGGCTTCTGGGTGATGTAGAAATCAAGGGAATACGAGGGGTGGTTGATCGAACCCATGTATTTTGGTTGGATGAAAACATAGACCCGAAATCCTATCGGCACGAGCACAATCCAGGTGATTTTGAAATTGATTCCTTCAAAATGGAAGATGTACTGGTCACGGTCTACCAGCCCAGTGACTTCAGGCCCTTTCCAGTCAGCATCTTTACCTGCCATCTCCCTCAATTAAGACGCCAATGGCTTTTCTACGACTTCCTATCTGCAAACATAATGTCGGGGTCGTTCGATAATTCTTTATTTACAATACATCCGCGACAAACACACAGCTACACTGGCGCGCAGCTAAATAACGGGGTCGAAGAGAATGGAAAACCCAGCCCATGGAAGAAGCACAGTCGGATTCGCATCGACGGACTCAACATCGACCATCTCAATCGTGGAGTGCAAGGGCCGTTTTCCTGGATCCACGAAGGCAACGTCGATATTGTCGCGGACATTATGTTTCCAGCCGAAAGCGACGAGAGTTTGGCGAAAGTGATGGCGGACTTCTACGACCGTCTGGAAGCCACAGTGACCTCCAATCGCTATGAGTCAGTATCGAGGACAGCAGCGAATTTAAAGGACGGAGCGGAAAGCCAAAATGATAAACGGTTCGTCGTCACGGACCTGAGAATCAATCTCAATAACGTAAGAGCTGTGGTGCCCCTGTTTACACGAGATCTTTCTTACATCAACAATGCACTGATTCGGCCGATTGTGGGGTATATCAATTCCAAACGCACATTCATCCCGGTTCAGTGCCGACTGGTGAAGCGGGTAAGCGATTTTGATGGAAGCTGGACGATATTTGACAGCGGGCTGATGGATGACCTATCTGCCGAGGCAAGTGGACCAAACCCAACCTATGCATCCGACTCTTTAGATTTGCTAACACAGGTGCGCTGTTAGACATACGAAGCCTTTGCACGAGACGTTGTCGACGACCAAGCTCGGAAACGGCGGCTGAAAAAAGTCGGCTTATGGTCGCTTCAACTTGCGGCCCAGGCCATCTTCATGGGCATGGCAGGCAACATTGCATGAGGCGTCGATTGGGCATGGCGCTGGATACCGGGCGGGCGTTTGTTTGTGTTTTTTGGCCATGGGCCTCTTTGTGGGGTGCTAACCACTAGTTACCTCGAGAGTCGGTTGCGGAGGAGGGCTGGATTTGGCGTACATTCTGGGTTTTAGAGAGAATCGACGAGTGAACTAGTTAATCATCGAAGCACGGTGCGCTTTAACGCTGGAGTGGTCTCCGCCTGTTCGTATAAGCCCCTCCTCGGCGCTTTCTCGGAGTGTTTGGCGCTGAAGCTTGACGCCGTCATCCGACGCAGGTTGGTTACAAGATGGCGCGGGTTCATGCCACCAGTGACGGCCAGGCAGAACATTTGTTGCACGCGAGCCGCCAGTCGCCAGCACTGCTTCCGAACGGGGGGCCGGCCGCTTGGTCCTTCGCCTCCTCACGCCCCTGGGCCGCCGCCGCTGCTCACCTGCCCAGCCCCAGCCCCAGCCCGGCCCGGCCACCTGACTGCCCGCTCCCCAAAACATCCCCAGCGCCGTCCGTCGTCAGCACACGCTGCCCCTGCATGGTTGGACTAGGGAGCCATGTCGCATCCACGGCGGCACGTCGCTGATGCAGAAGGCCAATCTCCTCCCTCACGCCCGCTGAACCTCCCGCCCGGCCCTTCCTCCTCGATCTCCCAGCCCAGACCCGCCGCCCGTGCTCCGCCCGACCATCCATCTGTCGCTGCTGGGACTGCTGCAACCCTAACACCCCGGCTCATTTCGCACGCCCTAGCCCCTATCGCCGGCGCCTCTCCACGCCCAGCGGGAGCTTCGTCCAACACTCGTTCACGCCAGCCCACCACGCCATCTCAACGCCCATCGCGGCACGCTGCCACACCTCCTTTGCCCGTCAAGAGCTCCGGCCGCACGCCCAATTCTACCGCCCTTTCAGGCTTTCCCGTGCCGCCGACCGCCAGAGCCCACTGCGCGTCGCCCACGCCCAGCTTGTCCTCCATCTTGTCCGCCTCTACGCTGGCCGCTGGCCCTTTGGTCGAGTCACCCGCCTCTGCGCTGCATCACCCCAGCCAACATACCGCCAGCCTCGCATCCTCCTCCGGCTCGCACACACCTTCCACCCCAAACCCTATTCATGTCTCCGCCATGGCAGAGAGCACGGGTCACAGGTCGGTTCCACGAACTTCCTCAATAGATTCTGCTATATCATCGCTGTCGTCGACTTCCCATTCACATAAGTCGTCCCTGGATGCAAATGTAACCCCTGCGGATATTGCAAATCTGATCTCAGCAGCCGGGTCGCCGGAAGCTGTGATTATACATTTGCTGAAGGAGAAGCAGCATGCGGCATCCCAGAATGCACAGCTTTGGAAATTAGTGGATAAACAACGGACAATGCTCTTGGCTTTGAACAAGGATCTCGAGAGGGCAGTAAAGGAAAAAGAGAAATACAAAAAAAGGCTGAGAGAGTACCAGAACACCCCACCACCTCTTCCTTCTACGCACCCGCAGAACAATGACAGCCAAGACAACGGAATCTCCGAGACTGGAGATTCTACCCAACACCATGAGACTGCTCTCCGAATGCCACTTCGTGTAGGAGGCACTAGTGGTACCGCTCCCGAAGCATGCCCAACCCCCATGAGCTTGCTACAAGCAGCCGACACAGACTCAAAAATCCAGACGGGTGTGACCAATGATGGCTCCTCTCCTACAATCGATTCCCCCTCAAGCCCCGAACTTATAGAAAATAGGAAAAGTGGTCGCGATGACGATGGAGTTGATCACCCTAGCGTTACCTCAGATACAAGTCAAAAAACCGCCACCTTAACCAAGGGAGATATTCTTCCAGCCCCCAGTGGCTCTAAACTCCCTAGCAAAGGAACAAAAGTCCCCCCTCCGTCGAGAAAGCCGCCTCCAGCGCCCCTACGACTAGACGAAGCGCAGAAAGTTAAGCTACCTGTTATTCTAGATAACAGAAAAGACTCTGATTCCGAATATGACGAGAACCCGGGCCATAGTGAAATATCAAATTTGGAACGTGGCAGGAGAAGAACCAGGGAAGAGGATGACTGGCTACGGGATGCCATAATAACCAAAGAACAGGAGGCCCGCAGCCGGTCTAATAAGAAGAAAGTCAAACATTTCGAGCCCCCGGAGAGTGTCCAGAAAGAACAAGCCCAGGCATTCCTTGGTGTTGGCCTCCCGTCAAGCCCGCGCTCTGGGGTCTCGAGCTCACCATCTCCTAGGCTAGTTGCCGTCAACTCCCCTCCCCCCGCCCAATTATCCTCTGTTTTGCAACCCGGAGCCAGTGACGCCAGCGGCTCTGATAGATCGCGAGTTGCTTCGCCCTTGAGTCCAGGACTACCCCAAAGTCCCAGACCAGAGGATCGCCCAATAGGGTCACCAATACCACGCTTTCCTAAAGACGGCGGAACGCTGATGTCCCCACCCCTTTCACCCCAGATGAACCCAGGCCAGTTTCAGAATATACTTAACCCAACCGGTGCCCACCTCACTACCCAAAACGATAAGGTTGAAGAAATACAGTCGACTTTTGCCACTGATTTGGAGATCACCAACGACATTCCAGTCTACAAACTAACAGTCGAGAAAGACAGCCCCGTTTCTACTCGCGAGACGCCTCATACCATATATCGTGGCATGGTCTCTTCCCAATATCCAGATCTGCTTCTTCCACCCAACTCGCTACCTTTGATTGATGTGAAGGTTTCATCATCCAGGCTACGCCCATCGCGAAGTAGTTACTTAGCTTTGAAACCTGTGGAAGAAGAACCAGTTTTTACGTTAAGTGTCTGTTCCCGAACAAACGGTATTGAGCTCTGGCGCGTCGAAAAGGCGATCCTATCTTTACCGCATTTTGACCAGCAAGTGAAACAGTTTTCAGGCTTTTCCGGAAGCTTGCCCGAACGGTCAATTTTCAGTGGTCACTCTCCCGCGAAAGTTGACGCCCGTAGAGCTGCTTTAAATACCTACTTCAAAGCCTTGCTTACCCAGCCAATGGATGAAGATGCGGCACTGGTAGTATGCCAGTTTCTCAGCACTGATGCTATTGAGCCCCGTGACGACGAATCCAATTTATTGCACGGGCCAGGGAATGGCAAACCCCCGATTTCGTTTGGGCCTGATGGTAAACCAAGAAAGGAAGGCTATTTAACGAAACGAGGAAAAAATTTCGGCGGGTGGAAGTCGCGTTATTTTGTTCTCGATGGGCCTGAGTTGAAGTACTACGAATCTCCTGGTGGACCTCATCTCGGTACCATAAAAATCCAAAATGCGCAGATTGGCAAACAATCCCCTTCTGGCAAAAACCAACCTCCTTCTCAGGTAGAAGATGACCCAGAGAATCAATATCGACATGCATTTTTGGTTCTAGAACCAAAAAAGAGAGATTCTTCCGCATTAGTTCGTCATGTTCTATGTGCAGAGAGCGATGCGGAAAGAGATGCGTGGGTTGAGACACTGCTCTGTTACGTTGAAGCTCGAGATCCAGACGATGAATATCAAGGATCCCACTCCCATATTTCTAAGTCCCCTTCTGGCGCCATTCCTAGGGCCCGTGTCCAAACGAAGAAGGGAAGCTCAGAAAACGTCCATTTGGGACGAGGAGAAGTGCTTCAAGCACTTAGTTACGATGATGTTGTCGCTGCTGAAGCCCCTATCCGCGGTCCTAGTGGTGGAAAAGCCTCTCCTCCTCCTCTTAGTTCCATACCGGATTATTCTGCACGTCAATTTGATCCGGAGAACTCTTCACCTACATATAAAACCATTTCTGCCCCTACCAACGGTATGAGAATTCAGGACGCGGGCGCCTGGGGTAACAAGACATCTGCCACGTCCACGAAAGAGAAGAAACGAAGTATCTGGGGATTTCGCAGTACTGCGGGAATGGACTTTACTGGTCACAACTCGAGACGTGACTCTATTGGCTTTCCCTACGATCTTCCTCTGGATCGAAAGGGGCCAATAAGACCAGTATTTGGGCTTCCTCTCGCCGATGCGGTAGAGTTTTGTGGCCCTCGAGATTTTGACTGTGGACTCCCTGCTGTTGTTTATCGGTGCCTCGATTATCTACGATCGCAACATGCTGAGTTAGAAGAAGGCATATTTCGACTTAGTGGCTCCAATGTCGTGATTAAAGCCTTAAAAGAGAGGTTTAACACGGAAGGCGACTTGGATTTCTCAGAGGGGGATTCGTATTACGACGTTCATGCGGTTGCCTCTCTCTTTAAGCAGTATCTCCGAGAGTTGCCGACAACGGTACTTACGAAAGAGCTTCACTTAGACTTTATTCGTGTTCTCGGTAAGTTTTAATTCCGAAGCATTTTCGTCGTTATTTTTTCTTTCTTTTTTTAACTAATATATCATGGATAGATTTGGACGAAAAACGGCAAAAAATTGCTGCATTCCATGCTTTGGTGCATAGACTTCCCAGGCCCAACCTGGACCTTCTCAAAGCCTTATCCCAGTTTTTGATAGTCATTATCAACAATGCGGATGTGAATAAAATGACAGTTCGCAATGTTGGTATTGTCTTTGCACCGACATTAAATATGCCCGCCCCGGTTTTTTCCATGTTCCTCACGGAATTCGATGCGATTTTTGGAGATTTTCTCCCTGGGAACACCACGCAACCAGTTGAAATTTCGGTCAATATTAGCCATCACCTCACGCCCGAAGATATTCGGTCCCCTAGACAACAAATGTTTTCTAACCTTCCTACGCCTTCATACCATCAAAACTCCTTCGAATCCCATGGGACTGAAGGAAATGTACTCAAGTATCGTCAGTTCAAATCAGACAATGACACTGGGCTGATTCCTATGCGACCTTCCTATGATCCACCTCCCATTCCTGAGCAGCGGCATGATGGAACGGGAAGTTCGCTCCAAGTGCAGTCTACCAGTGGTATGCTGGCGTCGAATAACCCAACAACGAAAAATAAGCGCAGGGAGAGCTCTTTACTTTTTATGGGTATAGGGAAATAAACATCATTCACATCTAAAGTTGCAGATATGGCTATACGCGGGAGGCCAAGCATTCCAAATCCCTTTGCCAATCGTTTCCCCTTTTTTAGATTTTTTTTTTCTTATTTTTATTTTTCTTTGTTTTTGGTTTTGAGACTACAGATCTTTTATCTTATGATGATGGATGTTCCAAAATGCGGCACACTTCCCACTGCTTTCCAAAGAGTTCCCAATGATACCACTTCAGGACATCCAATGATGCTCTTAAATCATCCTTATTAACCACCTTCATGCACATACTCCTGCAATTTATACTCCTAGGTTGATCATGCATAATTGTACCCTGATAATGTCCTTTTGTTTCATCTGAGTTGAGTTCGTTTTATTTTTCATTCCCTCCCTTATGCCAGGACTAGGGCCTGTAGTGTTCCCACAATACTTCCTGCCCAGAATATTTAATATACATTGACCCCTTCCAGTTGGCTACGTATTTATACCCCTTTTGCATTCAATCACCTTACCCCTTTGTCATATTTTCTAGTCTGAGTGGTCTTTGCCGTCTCCTCCCAGCGCTTGATGTGCTGTTGCATTCATACTTCCACATTTACTTTTGACCTATATAATTTGACAGTTCTTGACTACAGGTAGTACCTTTTTTCTTATAATTCGATCTATCATATAGTTACTTGACTAAATGATTGAATGTATTTTTTGCATATTTACTGTTTTGATACTAGAATGCCCTGGTGACCTCTTTATTCAATTGAGTATTAAAGACTATTGAAATGGCATTTTAGACAGAGTCCCAACCTTGCAGCTATCTTCAGGAAGGCACTGACTATATATGTAGCTTAAATGAATGTAGATTTTATTACATACCCAAGCCTGATGGTTGCATAGTACATCCTGGGCTCCAGCGACAACAAGACATTGTGGCTCTAACAGCAATTTTTTTTCACATCCACGCATTCGAACTTTCAAAATCAGCCTCTGGGATAATTATCGGGACATCTTCAAGTATCATGGCCGTACCAATAATCACAAGTGCCAGAAAAGTCGTATGAAGAGATTCAACGGTATACCCCGATGCTCAATGTCAGAACACTGGCCCCCTCTTCCTTCCGGTATATTTCGAATTAGCCTTGATGACTTTTCCTTTCCTTGTCATTTGATCCTTCTTTCTCAATATCCAGGGCTTGCTTCCTTTGATATCTGCTGGGTTTCTAGATCCTTTTTTTGAACCTTCAGCCTTTGTTCTTACATCCAAGATTTCAACGTCATCCATTCCCTGTACGATACCGGTAATATCACCCTGTAGTCCACCACCTCCAACAGTTAATACCAAGTACAACTTTCCATTCTTTGTACCAGGATCATCCTCTAAAATACCGGCACCAAACCCGGCTTTTATCGCAGCTGCACTGATCATATTTCGCTGTGCATCATTTTTAGGATAAAACTGACATACAGCACGAGCTCCACGACGTAAAGAGGCATATAGCCCGTCGAAAAATAGCCGTAGCCGTCCTTCAGGGTTAACGTCCGTTGCCTCAGCGTTACATAGCCACTGCACGGCGCTGATACTGATAGCAGCATCGAAGGTACCCGGTCGAAAAGGAACTCCTTGGCCCATATCCGCCAAAAAAAGGTCACCCTCAACCTCCCTTTGAAGAGCAATATCAAGCATGCAGGGAGAAATGTCCATTCCCACCCAGATATGCGGGCCGCTTTCAGAGGAGGGAACCGACGACAGTATTTCACCAGATAGGCCGGACCCGCAGCCGATATCCAGGATTAATGAAGGGGATTGAAGCTCTAGGAGTTCGAGAGCCCTACGGGTCATTTCTGACTGGATATTTTGTATCCGAGAAGACGAAGTATACTTTCTGGATTCTCTATCATTGTAGAAGAGATCTGGAGGCCTATTAACAGGAGGCAATTAGCGCTTCTCCGCAAGAAAAAAGAGAGGTGGCTCACAATAGATGCTCTGGTCGGGACATGGTCACCCTGATGCACGAATTTGGGGAACGTCAGAGAAACCCAAGCAAAAATCAAACTAATGGCATGCCCCTTTTCTTTGTTTTTTCTTGGAAAGGTCATATGAGGATAAAAAAAAGCATTTCATTACAGGCGTAGTAATTGTCAGCTGGTAGCATAGGCCTGGCCGGGAGATTGGAGCTTTTATTCACTTCTTTGTATAATCTGGATGCAAATCATTTGTTTGCGATAACTATAGTACCTAAATGTGCCTAAATGTGTTAGTTCACAACCCTAAATTCACACTAACAAACCTTAATAGAACACGTCTCGAAACGTTTGATGGGGACTTCCAAAGACTTTTGTTCTATTACTTCTGTTCTTCACACATGCACAATAATAACCTCATTCCCAACATCCAGGAGATCCACTTTATCAATCTCACCAACCTCGATAGTGGAATAATATTATGGCCCCCGAGAAGCGGTCGCATGACTTCAATCCACCATTTCCATCAAAATTTGAACAAGTATGGGTTCTCCCTTCTATTTCAATTTTGAGCTGCGTTGTTAACTCGTGCGTTTGCTATCAGCGCAAGCGGCGGCGTTTATCCCCCAGCTCGCCAATTCAGTCCTCCTCGGATTTTGAGAGTGATGTAAATTCGGATTTTGAGCGCCATGCAACACAGATGATCCGCGAGAAGTACCAGACGCTCGGAGACAATCAACCTGTGGAAAATGGCATTATTGAGCGTATTGATTGCTATAATTTTATGTGTCACAAGCATCTGTCATTGGAATTGGGTCCTCTGATCAATTTCATTGTGGGTAAAAACGGCAGTGGGAAGAGTGCCGTACTTACTGCATTGGCCCTTTGCCTGGGTGGTAAAGCTTCTGCCACGAACCGTGGCCAAAGCTTGAAGAATTTTATCAAAGAAGGGAATGAGTACGCCACTCCGTAAGTAAAATATTAATGACTAATTCTAATAACTTTTTTAAATCTGCAGTGCTGCAACTATTATCGTTCGTATCAAGAATCAGGGTGACAGTGCTTATTTGCCTCATGAATTCGGCCCCTCTATTATTGTTGAGAGACATTTCTCTCTAAGCGGAGCAAGTGGATTCCGCATCAAAAATGTATCTGGCCGAGTAGTGACCACAAAAAGAAGTGATCTTGATTCAATAATAGACTACTTTGCCTTACAGATGGATAACCCCATGAATGTCTTGTCCCAAGACATGGCTCGGCAATTTTTGAGTACTTCAAATCCGGCTGAAAAGTACAAATTTTTTGTCAAGGGGGTCCAATTAGAGCAGTTAGACCAGGACTACCATTTAATAGATGAGTCTATTAATAGTCTTGAGTCAAAGCTAGGTGTTCAATATGAAGAGCTGAAAGTACTGGAAGAGAGAAAGTCCAAGACCAAAACTCGTTTAGCTTTGTCCGATAGGCACGAGGGGATTAGGAACAGGATCAGAAACCTACGAGCCCAAATGGCATGGGCCCAGGTGGACGAACAAGAACAAGTAAGCCCTGTAAAATATCGATCTAAGGATTAAGCAAACTAAACTTGTTTCAGATCCGGGATGCTTTGGGACGAGAACATACGGAACTTAATAAAAATCTTGTCCACCTCGAAGCTGCAGCAAAGACCGTCGAGCACCTATTTGATGAAGTCCAGGGTGCCTGTCTCGATGCTACAAATCAACTGCAAAGAGCAGAGAATGAGCTGGAGAGAGTGCTTGACAGCAAGAAGGAGGTACAAGCTAGGCACGACGCCAAGCTCAACGAGTGCCAGGAATTACATGTATAAAATTGATCAATATCCTATAGAGATGTGCTAATAAAAGTGATGCAGGCAACAAAACGCGAGGTACGCAATCACCTTAAAGCCGCCGACAATCGAATTCAAGAAACACGCAAAAAGATTGAAGAGGAGTTGCAAAAATTGAAAGACGTACATGGAGGTGTCAATATGGGAAAACTCAACGAGATAGAGGAGAAGGAAGCTGCGGCAAAGGAAATGTGGCGGCGTCACAAAGATCATAAGGATGCTACTGCTCGGCTGCAATCCGAAATAGCAACAGCAGAAAACCTAATGAAGCGTGCGGGTTTACCTATTCCAAAACAAAGGAAAGATATTGATGAAGCGGACCAGCATCTCCGCAGCATGGAAAGAGGCCGTCAACACCAGGAGGGTGCCTTTCCCGCGGGAATGACAAGGTTAATCAAGGTGGTTCAAGAGGACTCTACCTTCAATCGACAGCCAATCGGCCCTGTAGGGAGTTACATCACACTTCTTAAACCCCAGTGGTCTTCCGTGCTAGAAAAGTCTTTTGGAAACGCCTTGAATGGGTTTGTTGTGACAAGCAAAAATGACTTGAATAAACTGTCAAGTATCATGCGGCGAGTTGATTGGTAAGTGTAGCTGTCAGAGGTTTCTTTTTAGCTATTGCGACTAAAACATATCGGCAGCGTCTGCCCGATTTTTATCGGGAATGAAAATGGTACTCTAGACACGTCTCCATATGAGCCCGATGCCAGCTTTGACACTGCGTTGAGAGTGCTGAAGGTGAAACTTGTCCCAGTTCGAAAAAAGAGGAATAATAGCAATAATACTCACTTTTCTTCCTTCATAGATTGATGTTGATATTGTCCGACGACAGTTAGTCATTAACCATAGTATAGAACAAATGCTTCTTATTGAGGATGTTGATGAGGCTTCCAAAATTATGTATAGTGACAAGGCCCCAAAAAATGTGAGACGCTGTTATTGCATTGATAAAAATGATAGGAGGCGGGGCGTACATTTAGGTTTCACACGTACAGGAGACCCGGTTCAATCTCCCCTGGGCGCGTTTGCCGGGCAGGCTAGAATGAAAACGGACATCGATTCCCAAATTAGGTAGTCAATCCTTTTTTCTTCTTGCGCCTAAACTCTAGCGTTGCGCTGATTTGGATGGCTGTAGGATACAACGCGACGCTATTAATGAACTGAGAAATAACCTGAGGGTGTTGGAGAACGAGCAGAGAGATGCTCGATCTAATTTGGAGAAATGCAGACAAGCATTTGCTAGGCATGAAAGACGCCAAAGAGATCTGCAGATTGAGGCTCAAAAGGCGGATGATCTGGTTGAAGAATTAAAGGATGCCATGGAGAAGGAGAGGGTTGAAGATGGTCGACTTGATGGGCTGAAACACGGCTTAGCTGAGTCAGAGGAGGAAAAAAGAATAGCTGCAGCTTCATATGAAGACGGTGTTATCGCCCACGATGCGGCGGTGGTAGAACTGAAGAAGATGAAGAAGGAGTTGGCTGCCAAGGACGCCGAAATTGCATCCGCCGAACATGAGCTCTTCAAATACAGAAATAATAAAACTAGGGCCGAAGACGAGCAAACAAGAGTTCTTTCTGAAATGAACGTTGCTCTAGCTCAAGTGGGCGCTGCAGATGAGAATATGAAGAAAATAACACAAAAACAAAACGAAGCCGCCTCTCGAGTAATTAAGTTTACTGAGCAAGCAGAAATTATCTCCTCACTGCGTGTTGTGGTTGATGAGGGGGAAACTTCAAATAGCCTGGATGAGAAGTTGCAGAAGCTGAAGCGTGACCTCCAACGATATGACACTGAGTCTGGGACTCCTTTATTATTGTTTATACCATAGAAGCGCTAACCAACGATAGGATGGGTGCGTCTCGAGAGGACATCGCTGCGGCTGCTGCGGAAGCTGAGGCAAAATACGAATTCTCAAGGGCGCAAATTACGGATTTCAGCGACCTTGCTCAGGAAAGCTCATATTTATCTTTTTAATACGTCTCAGATAGATTAACGTTGAATTAGATGTTCAAAAACACCATCAGAAATCGACGTGATAGATGGCTGAATTTTCAGTCATTAATTTGCACAAGGGCCAGGTCGCAATTCATGTACCTGTTGAGTGAAAGAAGTTTTCGTGGAAAACTCCTTACAAACCACAAAAAGAAGTTGCTCGACCTTCAGGTATTATTCAAGACCCAATCTCGCCCAGAAAACCTTCTAAAAGTTTAGGTCGAACCTGATATCACAAAAAATACCGCTGGGCGAGGTGCAAAGACGCTCTCTGGCGGAGAGAAATCTTTTTCTCAAATATGTCTTTTGCTGGCTCTCTGGGAAGCGATGGGATCACCTATTCGTTGTTTGGATGAATTGTAACGTCTCTACCGCCTCTTGCGACCCGTCGTGGCGTATATCTAATTGATATCTAGCGACGTTTACATGGATTCAGTAAATCGCAAGATAACTATTGATATGCTGGTATGTCATTCGAAAACGCTGCCTATACCTTTCATTGACTTAGTTAATAATTTTTTTTTTTTTTTTTTTTTTTTTTCATGGCAGATGGGGGCAGCAAGGCGATCTGTGGGGCGACAGTTTATTCTGATTACCCCTGGTTCAAGGGCAGAGATAAGGGTAGCGCCCGACGTTCGCGTTATTGAGTACGTATTTGGAAAGATATAGAGGTCATAAGAGGTACCATGCTTACTTATTAATGCAGGCTTGCGGAACCAGAAAGAGGACAGAGCACCATCTCATTTAGTGGTGTTTAAGACCGGAGGTCACCAGGCGCTTTAACTGGTAATCGCGGCACGCGCCCCCTAAAGTAGGCGCTGACCCCCCAAATGAAAATACCACCCACCTAATATAATTCTTTGACCTCTAGAGTAATAAATAAATATTAATTCACTTTCACATTCTGTAAGTACATTATAATCCATCAGTTTATTGACTTATGATTGAGTTGAATCTTTTATGGCTTCAATTATAGACAGTATACACAGCTAGATCATGTAATGAAAGGAATACAGTATTATATACAACATCAACAATAATCAAATTAGTTGAATGTAATTACTTTAGAAGACTTTCAAAATAATGTATGTATATTAGGCTGACTGCAGGGACAGAGATTTCCCAACTGGGATCCCATCCCTAATGCACTAATGGGAAATTGGGATGGGACTGGGACTTGATAGTTGTTACCTGGTCTAATAAAGCTACAGAATGTCCGTGTGATTTTGGTTGTGTAGTAGAAGATGCTCTTCATATCTCCCTCTAGCTTTGTGGGTAAGCTTGAGGTGCTGACTAAGTAGCTAACTATTTTGGTATTATGTACAGTAATGATTCCATGTCAGTTGCTGTGGAATATCTTTTAAAATCAGTGCCCTCACTGAAAGCATGTGTACTGAACATATCAGCATATCAGATTAGAACTGATAATCATAATAGAGAAAGTTGAAGAAGAAGAACATCTTCTCAATAACTACTTTATTGATCAATTTAGTATGTGTCATTGAATAAAGAAACTTCTTTTAAGTTAGAGTAGACATGATCAGTTGCATTAATGCATATATTTTAATTTAATGCTGAAAATATTATTCTTCATCTAATATAAAATTCTTTTATAGTTGTAGAGTGTTCTTTTAATTCTGTTCTAGTATGTTAGTGTCATTAATTTAAGTTAAATATGAATAATCTTCAGTTATTACTTCTAGTGTGTGCAGAGGAGCTGAATGAGCTTTCTGTTAATGATTAGAAAGATGTAGTACTTTGCATCTTATAAAGTTATTTAAAATAAATCAATGTTCTCTGTAAATCTCTTTTTTTTTATCTGTTGTTAGATTAAGTCATGCTTAAATTTCTTTCATTGTTATAACATCATCTTCATCTAGAGTCAATCAGATTTCTGTAGTTATTGTTGTAGATGATTGCATTTAAATGAGTTCTTCAGAGAATTGATATAGAAAATGAATGAGTTTATATTTTATTAATTTTAATAAGAGCTCATAATGATCTTTCTGAAGTTTATTTAATATTTCTTTAAAATAAGAATTAATTATCAAAGTAGTGAGAATTTTCAGAACTAGATGTTGTTTCTCTGATTTTAATATGTTTAGTGGGAAGAATTGAAAGAATTCAAGACATTGATCAATTGTCATGACATATTAAGCATTTCTGTACTTTGTAAGTGTTGCTGTTCATTCATTAAATATTGCTGATTGTTTGATTATTGCATCTAATTCATTCATCATAAATATGTCATCAGTGTTTATTGCTGAAAAGTTCATGAAAAGATAAAAGACAGAGAACTGTCTGTTTTGTAGATAAAGCACTTATTTATCTTAAAGATGTTGAGATATTAGTTCTCATTTTCAGATGAAGAGATTAATAAAATCAGAAAGTTCATTACTATCAGTTTTTTTTAATGAGTCTGATAGTAATTGAGACATTGATTCATTATGTTTTAATATTTCTATGACTAATGTTGTTTCTGTATTTAAAATCAACATTGCTGTGTTATTTAATTCTGATGAAAGATGACTTCTAGATGTTTCTCAATTAAGTGAACTGTTAGTGTGATAGTCAGAAAATGTAGAGAAAGCAACATTATCATCAGTGAAGAACTTATTAGTATTGAATTCAGAAATGTCATTCAGTAAATTAATCTTTTCAGCAGACTTAAGTAGTCATTTACTATTTCAGATTGCTTTCTGTTTGACTGATGTCTTTTTCTTGCATGAAGTGACTTTATTGTTCAGAGCTTTTCATTTGTTGAGCTTTTGTTTTAATGTGGGCATGGTGAAATTGTCATTGATTTAGACAGTTCATGAGCTAGTTAATAAGTCATCATCAAGCAATGTAAGAATATTATCTTCAGATTCAGAAATATTAAAGATGTTGTCTAAAGCTTTTATGTTATATTTTTTTGTTCAGATTTCTTGTCTTTCTGAATGGTCATTTTTAAATCATTCTCTTTGAAGAAATTTCTGCTTTCATATAATCTGACTCTCTCTTCACTGAATCATTTCTTCTTCACATTTTCTGTTGATTTCAGCTCTGATTAATTCAGCTTAAGTTTGTAGAGCTAAAGTGGTTGCTGTTCATTGCTGCAAGATTGTAAAAGATTCATCATATTGAATATGTTCATTATTAATATTGTATCTCACTGAATTGCACTGCTGAAAAAAGATGCTTTAGTAGATAGATGAATATAAATTCATTTGTTGTGATTTTATATGATGATTTTATTTTCTGTACACTTATTTATCATAATCTTGTTCTTTCATGCATCTGTGGTTATTTCTATCTTACTTTGAGTAAGATACTGTGATTGTGATACAGCTGATGAAAAATTGTGTGATGAAGAACTCTGAAAATTCCATTTATTAGCAGAATGAAGTCTGACTTAAGCATTTTCAGATATGAATTATAAGATATAATCTGCTTAAAATTCTGTCTTCTCTTCTGAAACTTCATATTGATCTTGAAGTTTATATTGTTCTTTGGCACAAGAGAGAGTCTTTGATGCAGATAGAATTGTGAACTTTGATATTCTAATAGAAGCTTTTGAGAATGCATTAGTATTTGACAGAGTGTTCATGCTGGACAGATGTTTTAAAATTAGAGATTGAATGGTTATTTAAGTAGAAGTGAATAGACAGTTACTTAAATACAAATAGAATTTAGTTATTGTGATATGCAATAGAGCTGCATTTGTGAAGCTTTTTAAGTGAAGAATGTCAGAAAAAATATGTTATGTTAAATGAGATTGTAAAATGAAGAATGTTTGAGAGAAGTGAAATATTATATGTTCACTTAGCATTTATGAATTGTTTGTGTTGTTGTTGTTGTTGTTGTTGAATATAAAATTATATAAGCTTGTCTGCATATTTATATTAATGCAATAGTTCTTTGACATTAACTAGTTTCAATTCTTTTAATCAGAAGTCTTCTTGAAGTCTGTAGCTCTTTCACTGCATTAAGTATTTCTTTTGTGCTTTAGTGTCTTTGTCTTTTGTTTATTCTGCTACAATTCATTTTTGAGGATTGGGTGGTTGCAGGTAATGTGGCAATGGCTTACAGCCTTTGTAGATGAGGTTGGATTGAGTGAGAAGTGATTATGAAGGGATCTAAGCATGAAAGAGAGAGAGATAATTTATATTGCTACAACAGTATCTAGAATCTCTAGATATGTTGTCACTGATCTTCATAAAGAAGTGTCTGTGGCAGATTTTGTGTGTTCAGCTTTGCTAGTGTGATTATGTGATCAGTTACATAGTTTACAAATCTCAGATGTCATGGAGCATGATCATCTAAGCATCAAGAAGATTTTACAAATCTCTTTTTAGATGATGAAATAAATGTAAGAAGATCACAGCATGGAGTCTTACAGATTCTTCTCTCTTTACAAGTCTTGATTCTTAAGATATTGATGTGATCAAGATCACAGTGAGAGTGACAGCTTCACTGTCATTGTAACAATTTTGTACAAAATCTCTTTTAGATGATGGGATGAATGTAAGAAGGCTGCAGTGCAGAGCCTTAATTCAATCTCAGTTTCTAGATGTAGATATGACAGTAAGATTACAGCAAGAGTGACAGCTTCTCTGTAATTGTAATGTAGTTGCTGTAGTGACTGTCATTTCTCATGATTCATCTAGTGATACTCAGCAATCTTTTGAATATAAATATCTCTTTCTTGATCTTCTTTCTCTCTCTCTTTCTTTTTCTTTTTCAACAACATTCTTCTTTATTTTGATAAGAGTTTCAGACAAGCATTTTCTTCTTGATGATTACAAATCTTAAGAGACTTCATAAACAGCTTTTCTCAGTGCTTACATATTATGCAGAGAGATAATTTTGCTGTGTCTTTCTTCTGTTCAAAATTAAGATGTCAAAACATGAGCAACAATGACTCAATAAGTTTGGAAGTAAAATCTCAATCAGTTATTGTTCAAGACTCTTTTTAGAGACAATGCAAGAGATGTCTTCAG